GGGGGGGGGGGGGGGGGGGGTGTCATTAATAAGAAGTTGACAGCAAACTCTAAGCCTCTGAGCCCTAAACGTTAGACTTAGACCATGTCGTTCGGAATCCTTTTGCCAGCTGGGCGTCCATGGTGAACTCAGCCTTGTCCGGAACTCAGGTGGCGACATTTAGTTCAGCGTAGTTCATCTAGCAGTACACACATGTATCTATGTATGTACGTACGTAAGTAAGTATGTATGTAAGTAAGTAAGTATGTCTGCATGTATGCACGTGTCACGTATTCTGTTCTGTGTGTTATAACAGTTTATACTTCTATAATGCACCTCCACGATCCTTCACTATCATTGCCAATCACGATACCAGTATTATGTTCGCTGCAGCATTATTACCACTTCGACAGTTGTGACTACTGCGACTGCCGCCACGATCGCCATCATCACCAACACCACCGCCACGCCCGCAATGACAGCCACGAAGTGGTAGTGGTAGTGGTATAGTGTTAATACTGCCATTGCGGTTGCGTTACTGCTACTGCAAAGTACTGCTACTGCTACCGCTACTGCTTTTAGGTGACACTCGTAATAGAGTATAACCAAAAAGAACCATAGTCCGAATACCAAGATTAAGAGTGATGACAGATAGTTGTAAGATGGCGTAAGAATACCATCACTTTTTCCACTGCTACCACCACGACGACGACCGCCAAAGTATAAAACAGCGAGAAAATTGAATGCTACAACACGAAATCTTGGACTCCAAGAATCTCAATCGCTAACAAATCCTAAAACCCCCCACTTTAGGTCCGAAGTGTAAAAGCCTGACACCCCATCGCCCGAACCGTCAAAGTTCTTATCCTACGCCCTAAACCCAAAACCCGAAATCCTAAACCCTAAACCCTAAACCCAGAGAACCCAAAGCCCTAAATCATTGAGGTGCTTCTTCGGCCCGGAAGCCTACGATCCTCGAAATCCACGAAGCTCCCAAACCCTCAAGCATACAGTCTGGAAGACAGACTCGGAGCAATAAATCCTAAACACAAACATTAAGCCCTACACCCTGCACCCTAAATCCCAAGATCTGAAACCCTAAACCCTAAATCCAAAGATCTGAAACCTGAACCTTACAGGCAGAGACCCACCTCGGTGGTCGGATCGTTTCCTGTTGGCAGTCGGGGGTTTAGGGTTTAGGTTTGTTTTTTGAGGGATGTCGGACAGTTGATGGTTGTGGGTTTAGGGCTTAAGTTTTAGAAAGGGTGGGGAACAGGGCTACACGTAGAGTTTCTGGTATGTTAGACTTTAGGGTTTAGACATTGGGGTGTTAGGTCTGTGTTTTTTGGTTTTGGTTTGGGAGTGAGTGTTATCCTTGAGGGATGTTTCAAGACTTAGGATTCGCACAGTCACGCCTTTAGTCGGTTTTAGGCTTGTTCCAGATTTTGAGAGGCGAGGTTTCTCACAGGGCGTCAGAAGGCTCGGGTCTTCGAGTTGGAGCTTGCTTTACGGCATTGGTGAATTGAGGGTTTAGGGTTTAGGGATAATACGGCGCTGTGGGGTGAAGTAGCTTAAGTGGTATTTTACAGATAGGTGCCTGTTTCATGTGTAAGGTTTCGGCAGCAGTTTCATTCTTGGAAAAAGCCCTAAACCCTCAACCCTAAAAAAACCTGAAACCGTAAACCCGAAAAACCCTAAACCCTAAACTCTAAACCACAAGCCGTGTAAGCTTTCTTGTTTTGAGGCGTAGCTTGTGGGACCAACCCTCTGCTCGACAAGAACAGCAACCCTAACCGTTAAGGGTTTAGGGCTTAGGGGTTTAGGGCTTAGGGTTTTTAACGTTTATCTTTGCTTGGGAGTTTAGAGCAAAGCTTATTCAGGCTAAACGTTACACCCCAAATCCCTTCTAAACCCGCAGTCTTACTTATGCTGATACTGCCGATCCCCTAAACTGTGAACTTGGCTCATGACAATCCTAAAGCCAGTCGAACCCTAAGACTCCAAATGGCCCAAAGCAGGTACCATTTGACTTTAGACCTCAAAGTAGGTACTATTTAACCTGGTTCATGACATTCCTAAAGCCAGTCGAACCCTAAGACTCCAAATGGCCCAAAGTTGGGGCCCAAAGCAGGTACCATTTATAGACGTTAGACTTGGAGTCTTAGGGGAACAAATGTAGTTACTTTGGGAAAGACTTAAAGCCCGGCCTCGCGAATGCAAGCCAAATAGTCAGTAATGTTATTCCCTCATAGTCCCTTTATTGACTTATATTCATGTGCTTTCTACATGCTTATGTACTTTTGCATCTAGACATGTTTGTGTATAGACTCACGCATATACATATATATATATATACACTATGTATATATATATATATATGTATAGCTGCTACAGTGTGAACTACCCCCTGAAACCCTAAGACATAGCTAAATCTTGTTCTGGTTCTCACAATTGAGACCGCCACACGGTTGATGATATAAATCCTGCATTACCCAGAACACGGAATATACCATTATTCCCATCGTTTCGGGTCCTTGAGGGAATGCAGGATTTATATCACCAACAGTATTTGGGGGGGCTCCGTACTGATATACCCTAAACCCTAAACCCTATCAGCGGTATGGCCGTGAGTCAATGCAGGGTTTATCTCATCAATCGTACTGTTGCATTTCGGCTGAATCGAGGCGTTTCTTCGATTCGCTTCGCCGGAGGCCTGTGGAGAGGAATTAGAATTTCGGGTTTAGGGTTTAGGGTTTGGGGTTTAGGGTTTAGGAATATGTTTCAGGATTTTGTCTGGGGTTCAGGGAATTAGGATCTACCTGTGGCCCAAAAAGCCCTACCGTTTGAAAGAGAGAGAGAGAGAGATATATATATATATATATACATATTCATATATATATATATATATGTAGGAGCCGAAGACAAGGAAACCTAAGAAAGCTAGTAGGTTGTCCGGCTTAAGTTGAATGCCGTACGAAGCCCCAACCCAAGCTTGACCTTCGAGTAGACCGTAAGTGATAAGCGTGCCGTCAAACCCTAAGCCCTAATCCACCCTAAGCCCTAAATCCTTTGCCTGAAACCCCGAAACCCTAAACCCTAATCCCCTAAACCCTAAACCCTAATCCCCTAAACCGTGCCCTACACCTTGCAATGGAAGCTCCCAGACCGAGGCGCAACAGCCCTGAACAGACCTGGAACCCAACGTTTGGGGGTTGAGGGTTTAGGGTTTAAGGGTTTAGGGATTAAGGGTTTAGGGATTAAGGGTTTAGGGTTTCGGGTTTAGGGATCTAGGGTTTAGGGTTCAATGTCGGGGCCTAAATAATTATCTATACTATTTTTGGGCGGTTCAATATAATAAGAATGGTATAATGGGCCCAAAAACCCCATTCTAATTATTAAGGCCCCTATATTATACGGTATAGGATTTAGGAGTTTAGGCTTTGGAGTTTAGGGTTTTTGGCATACTGTGGCTGACAAAGCACCGAAGACAACACCCTAGGCTTTAGGTTAGACCCCTACAGCCTACACGCTTAAAGCCTTAATAGGGTTTAGGGTTTAGGGTTTAGACCCTTAAGTCCTTAACCCCAAAGTCCTGACTGTAGAAACCTCTCCTGCAACCGTAGACAACAGTAGCATTAGATGGCAAGAGCCGCAGTAAGACCGGGTCTAGTAGTACTTGGCGTCGTGGTATTCGTTAAATGTGTTTGCGTTTCAGGCGCGCAAAGGCCCTAAACCCTAAACCCTAAACCCTAAACCACCGTCACCCTGCAAACCCCATGTCCCAAAACGTGAAACCCCGAGACTCTACAGCCCTAAGAGGGTTTAGGAGCCAAATTAAGGACACAAGCAAAGGCATGTTATAGGGATCTCTCTACCTTATTGGGCTTCATTAAGGGGGGGGGTTATTTGGGAGATCACCATCCTATTTTTTGCTTATGTGTTTTTTTTGGGCCCTAGGGTTTAAGGTTTAGGGAAAACCTCCACAACCTCTCAGCCCTAAACAGCAGAAACACACAACACCAGGCCCTATAAACCCAAAGCCTTAGCCCTGAAACCCTACAAAATACTAGGTTATGACCCCTTAATTATGGGGCCTAGCCCCTAAAACAGCAGGTTTTTGGAGACAAAGGTAAGCCTAAGCCCTAAAACGGTAGACTCCACATTCACTTTTTTTGAGAGAGCGCTTCGAGGAGGCGAGTCGAGCCCGTGGGGGCCTCGATTTATTGTTTCCATGGGTCTCGGGACTCTTTAGGGTTTAGGGTTTAAGGCTTAGGGTTTAGGGTTTAAGGTTTAGGGGCTAGGGTTTAAGGCTCAGGGTTTAGGGTTTAAGGTTTAGGGGTTAGGGGTTAGGGTTTAAGGCTTGGGGGTTTGGGTTTAGGATGCTTGAGTTATAGGGCTTTGGTTCTCCAGCCCAAGTCTCATGGGCTTGGGGCTCAGGGCTTTGCACTGCAGGTGTAGGATGGAGGTAGTTTTCTACATTAGGGTCCTCTTTAGGTCCCCACTAGACCACGGCGCCCTTAAAGAAAGGACCCCCAGAAAGGACCCTAATTTTGGAGGACTACCCATTCAGGGTTTAGGGTTTAGGCTCGGGTTGGAGTGCAGGGTCTTTGGGGCTTAGGGTTTAGGGCTTTGGGTATAGGTTTAGGGGCTAAGGTTTAAGGTTTAGGGCTCAGGGCGTGTAGGGCTTTGGGTTGTTCAGTGGAATTGGGTTATAGGGATCCTGCAATCATCAAGCCGCTTCAACATGGGAGCCCTGTTTGGACGGCTGCTGCTACTAAGCCCGCAGTGGAGCTCCCCTTCCCGAAACCCTCCCGAAACCCTAAACCCCAATCCCTGAACCCTAAACCCTAAACCCTAAACCCTGAGCCCTGAACCCTAAACCCTAAACCCTAAGCCCTATAAAGCCTAAGCCCTAAACACTAAACCCTAAACCCTATAACCCTATAAACCCTAAGCCCTAAACCCTAAACCCTTAAACCCTATAAGCCCTAAACCCCTAAACCCTAAACCCAAAACCCCAAATCCCCTAAACCCTAAACCCTAAACCCTAAACCCTAAACCCCTAAACCCCTAAACCCTTAAACCCTAATTCCGTCGTGGCTTTGGGTTCAGCCTGAAAGCTTCGGCTCTGGGATTTGCATGCAAGGCCTGGGATGTACGGGTTGGGGCCCAGACCAGGCAGAGTATGCGCCACAGCCCGGCAGATTTCTGAATTCACGGCGCATCGGCCGTGGCAGAAACCAGGCACTTAACCGTGACCTTAAGTTCTGTCGGCTGGGCGATGTCGCCGCCATGTTCGGCACCTGGGCTTTCCAGACAACTTCTCCGTCTCCAGTGACTGTGCCCCGGCGTCACACATGTGCGTTCTGCTTTGGTGCTGCATTGCGGTGCTGTCCGAAACTTAAGGAAGAAGCTGTGGTCGCGGCCCTCAAAGCCGCGCCCAGCAAGAGGGCGTGGAGGGTCATGCACCCCATGTCAGGGTTGAGGGGTTTAGGCTTTAGG